TTTCGCGTGTGTTGGATGTTGGAAGGAGCGGCGATACCCAGGGGGGGGGGGGGTGTTTGCCCCAAACGTTGGCACAAAGGGGGCCATGTGAGGTGTCAACTGAAAGCTTATTTCCTTCTGAGTCTCTATATGCTAGTCATGTGATTGCATAATGCCTGGGTGTGGAGTTATAAACATGGACTCTGTGGTGATGCTGAAAGATTCTCTGTCCGAGGCAGAGCAATGGGCCGGGAATGTTTGCCCATGGACAAGCTAATGAGCAAAGCTCTGGGGGACAATGGGCCTTTGGAGGCCAAAGACACACCTGGCCACTGGCCATGTGACTCCCTCCAGCTTGGAAGAAGCCAGGAGGGGATAGAAATAGGCCATGTCGCCAACTCCATCGGCGTGCTCAGCTCAGCTCTTCATCCCAGAGGCAAGGGTGCCGGGTCGAGGAGCCGGGAAGAACTGTGGACCCATCCTGACGTAGGATGTGCACCAAGGACTTTTAAGCCAGTAGCTGTAACATCTCTGCTAGAGCCTGCACTGAGAACTGGGAGATTCGATGCATGTCATGTAGGATCCTTTAACAACCTCACTCTCAGGCTTTTCTTTCTTGTAGTAATAAACCTTTAGATGTTAGATGCTAAAGGATTGGCCCAGCGTGATTTGTGGGTAAGGTCCAGAGGGTAAATTGACCAGGGATCTGTGGCTGGTTTCTTGGAACCGGGCAGAACTTGTTTGGGGAAGGTGAGATTGGGCTCTAAAACCCCTCACCTGTGTATGAGGCCCGGGGCCATCAGGGGCACGGATATTGCTGGGGTTTCGGAGGGGTTTTGCTCGCGAGGTTTCTGGCTGGCCAGGCAGGCAGCTGAAGCGCTCTGTGGGGCTGGTGTGTGGCCTGTTTGGGAAGGTCTGCACTCTGGGGGCTATAGAGAGTCCCGAGTTTGAGGAATTCACCCTGAGCGGACGCCCTCGGCTGTGCCCAGACCCATCCCGTCCCGGCACAGTGCTGGAACAGGATGTGTGTCAACGCCAGTCTGCAGGGGAGGGGCCAGCCGGCTCGTGCACAATCGGTACCCACAGTCGCTGCCCCCAGAGTGCTGGGGCCAGCCCAGCAAGGGGAGACTCAAGCCTTCACAGCCACCGGGAGCTTCGACGTTCGGGGGACCCATTTCCGATGCCGACGGCCCAAGGTGCTGGGCACCCAGAACTCAAACCAGAACGAATGGGACGCAGGCGCCCCAGGCCACACGCGTTGGTACCTTGACACAGTGCCTAACGCTGCCACAGCCCAAGCCGAGCGGCGAGTTTGGAGAACGTGTTTGGCTCCTGGACTCGCGCCCCAAGTCCGAACACTAGATGTGCAGCTGGCACTAGCGGCCGAGGCTGCCATGCAGCTCTCGTTTTTATCAGGAAGACAGAAAAGTGTTGGGAGCAAGACACGAGAAGTCGTTCTCCTGCTTTGCTCTGCTCTGCGCTGATCAGGCCGCAGTTGGAGTCTTGTGTCCAGGTCTGGGCACATTTCAGGAAAGATGCGGAGAAATTGGAGAGGGTCCAGAGAAGAGCAACAAGGATGATGAAAGGCCCAGAGAACATGACCGATGAGGAAAGACTGAAGGAATTGGGCTTGTTTAGTTTGGAAAGGAGAAGACTGAGAGGGGACATGAGAGCGGTTTTCAAGTATCTAAAAGGGTGTCACAAGGAGGAGGAAGAAGAATTCTTCTCCTTGGCCTCTGAGGACAGGAGAAGAAACAAAAGGCTTAAACTGCAGCCAGGGAGGTTGAGGTTGGACATTAGGAAAAACTTCCTACCTGTCAGGGTGGTTAAACACTGGAATAAATTGCCCAGGGAGTTTGTGGAATCTCCATCCCTGGAAATATTCAAGAGCAGGTTAGACAGACATCTATCAGGGATGGTCTAGGGCAGGGCTACTCAACTTTGGAAGCCCCGGGGGCCACAATGATACTTACAGCACATGCCGAGAGCTGCAACTTAAGTGTGGTTGCATATACATGCAAATATATGCAAATATACGGAAATAGCTTCTTTCACACTGACGGGCATGAATACAAAGATTACGCCTTACGCCGCGGCGCCGGACCCAACCGTGGCCAGGGTGAGCCAGTCAGCACCTCTCGGGCTCTGCCCACAAGGCTAAGCAGCCAGCACGTCCCACAACGCCCCGGCGCTCCCGGCACCTCCTCCCTTGGGGCTACATACAGACGCCAGCACTCTGCACCCGCCTTTTCCAGCCAGCCCGTCCGCTCGCGCCTTTCAGCACTCACGCTGCCTGGAAGACACCTCTCCGCTGTGCAGCGTGTCCCCAGTGAAGGCCACGTTCAAACGGTCCCACCCACAGGCCGTGTGCTGAGCCCTACCCAAACCCAAACCAACGGGCGGCGTGCAGCCCGTGGCCGCGTGTAGAGTGGTCCTGGTCTCGGCAGTGCGGGGTCTCGACGCCTCGCGAGCACCCTTGCGTTTCTAGTGCTCTAGGACTCCATGACTGGACCTCGGGAATTTCATGACAAAACCGGTGAGTACAGCAGGGCTTGCCGCAAACCCAGAGCAGCCTGGCTCCGTTAGACCAGCAACCCAGCGAGGTGGCAGGAGCTTGGCTGCCTTTGGAAGATTATATTCACGGAGACGTGCGTCAGTTTTGTTCCTGGCAGGCAGCTGGCCCCCATGCGCCTTGTTCCTGGTGCAGGGAGCGCCTGCCAGTGGATCACAGCCCCTGGGAATTATTCCTTCTTGGAATCTGCTCCACCAGCTTGCTGGCGTTTGTGGTGGCACCCGCTATGGCTGGATTGCAAACCGACCCCGGCCACCGTTATCTGCCAGCAGGGCGGGCTGGTTGCCAGCAGCCCAGGGGTCACCCTGCCCGACTCCTGAGTCCTGGCTCTGGGAGCATTTCGCAGACTTTGCCCTGGTGGGGCAGGCGGCATCCAAGCCCACGTCACATACCCCATGTCTAGGGCAAGGGGAGCGCCGTCTCTCGGGGCACGAGGGAGGCACAAGGTGCCTGCCCACGCCCAGCGGGAACTGGTTTCTTACACGTGCACGTGGAATAACGGACGGGGGACTCAGCAGACACCTACTGTCCTCGTCGGTGCTCTCCTGCTCCTCCATCAAGGTGCAGTCAATGAGGGAGATGACGCCGTTAGCGTGAGACTCGCCCGGGCACACGGCAGAGCGAGTGAGCGGGACACGCGGACAGCGCCTTTGCTTTCCCCACCCAGGCGTAGCAGCCCCCTTCCTGCAAACGGGAACCCCCCGGGATGACTCGGGGCCATAACCTTAATCACTTGCTCCAGCGTTTGCAGGATCGGAGCCTTCTCTGTTACAATTCCAAAGCAGGTTCCATCGCCAATCAGCTCTGTGCTTTGACTGGTAGACAAGTAATGAAATGCTTGGCAACGGCTGCTTTCCCTGTGCCACTGATCACGCTCGTTTGTTCAGACATTATTGAAATATGAACAGTAAATTAAGTTTCCCCACAAATCTGTTATGATCAGCGGCTCTTTGCCATGGACTGGCATCTCGCCAACGGGCGACGGAACGTCCCCAAAGAGCCGCGAGCTGCAAACATCCACCCCCAAAAGCGGGAGTCTCGGGTGGACGGGCGACGCCCGTCAGTGCTAGGTACGAACTGAGCGCTAATTAAAGCTTCCCACTGAATAAATTGTCGGTGTTCTTGCAGCAAATCACAAGTGACGCCTCTTGCCGAGAGCTCGTCGTTTTTATTTTAGACACGACACTGAGCTCAGGCCGGGATGTCCTGCCCTGCTGGCTCCCTCTCCGCGCCCCCGCCGCTCGGAAACCGGCGCCTTCCGGCACCTC